TTGTTATGTCTGTTATATTTTGTGAACAGGAGTTAGCATTTTTTATTAGTTACCAATCTTTTTTTTTTAACTTTTTACAATACTGGAATATATAATACTGTGGAACAACAGATACAGACATAATCATGTATTTGGATTCATTAATTCTACAGGATGCCGTCACTTTCTAAGACAAAATGAAGCATATATGTCCATTTTAGTGAGACCTAGTTTTTTAATGAATTGTTTGCTCCTAAAGAAATAGTGAATAAAATCACGATCATCAAGGCATAACTTATTTGGAGTTCTAAGCTTTAAATACACAGGAGACCAACCAGATCATCCAGTATGACCTAATTTCCTGACCCTGGTTCCCTCTTGCTGACTTTCCATACTCAGAAACAGTGCAAATTTAAATGAGGAAAGAAAAGAAATCCACTCAAGAGCTGTTAAAAATGTATCTATGCAGTCAATCTATGTACCACTGTGTAATTATAATAACATAAACAACTCCACTATAAGGACATTCACATCAGACCTAATTTCATGCTGAACTATTATAATGCAATTAACAGCCTCATAGTCCTGTTTTAATTAAGCTCAGTTGTGAAATATGCAGCATTTGAACCTGTTCCGGCCTGTTTCGTCTACTGTTGAATTACCGTCCTTAACTTGTTTTTCTGCTGAATGATGAATTTCATTTAAGGATTACTGTTCATGGGTCTGGCAGTTGGTGGAATCTTCTAGGCTTTTGTGCCTCCAGATGGAGGTCAGCTCTAGTCCCTCAAATGTGTCCTATATGTGTAGTCTCTCAACTCGCTTGTCTCAATAGATTTATTAACTCACGCTGGGCTCTCCCAGAAATGAAGGGACATGTTTGGCTTAATGAAAGAGATTTTAGATGACAGGAGAGAGACTTGTGGAGCTAACTACAGATTATGTAGGGCACAAAAGCTCTCTTCTGGCCTATCATTTTACAGAAATACTAAGCGATCTCCACTTTTCCATGGATGTTAGTCTGCCAAACCATTTAACCATTACTAACTAGAAAATGAAAAACAAAGACATCTATAGAAAATGCAGTTTATAGAAAAAGCATATCCTGCTTCCTCCTTTTTCTCCCTCACCTACTCTAGGCTAGAAGGTCTAGGTCGTCTGATATTTGCCTTAGCAGATCTTTCCCTTCCTCTGTTTGAATTGCTTTCATAGCCTGAAATAAAATGCAATGGGAAATGTTACAAGTGAACATTTAAGTTGATGATTAAATATCATAGGTCAGTTTGCTGAGTAGCTGGTTCCTCAACAGCTAGGTTTCAGGACATAGATTTAAAAATCAAGAAAATGAAGTTGTAGAGACTCATGTTCATCTATGTGAATTGTTCAGAAATTACCCATATAACCTAAAGATAGATGGTGATTTCTTCACCACTCCCTACCTCTGCATCTGACCTCTGATTAGCCTCACTTCAGATTTCATCCCTGTTATAAAACATCCATATTCTATTTTTTTTTTACCTTGCCCTACTTTCTTAACACTAGGGAGAATTTTTACGAAGTTTTCACAACTAACCATCCCTAGTTGCTTGGAGCTGTCTTTGGCAATAAGTCAGAATATAAAGCATTTACCTGTAGGGTAAGGTATTTTCATGGCCAACATGTGAACACTCAGTAGCTAACTGGAAATATCCTCTTATGTGTGAGCATCTAATTCAGAAGCTTAGACCATTTCTAGGCCAGTCGCGGTGGCTCACACCTGTAATCCCAACACTTTGGGAGGCTGAGGCGTGTGGATCACCTGAAGTCAGGAGTTCAAGACCAGCTTGGTCAACACGGTGAAACTCCATCTCTACTAAAAATACAAAAAATTAGCCAGGCATGGTGGTGGGTGCCTGTAATCCCAGCTACTCAGGAGGTTGAGGCAGGTGAATCCCTTGAACCTGGGAGGTGGAGGTTGCAGTGAGCGGAGATTGCACCATTGCACTCCAGCCTGGGCAAGAAGAGTGAAACTGTCTAAAAAACAAACAAACAACAACAACAAAAAAACATTTCTAGTGAAGTTTTATGGGTCATTCACTCTCACTTCTCTCTTTCTCTTTCCCCTTTTATTCTTTCCAAAAAAAGGCATGTACTCATACAGCAATATAGTAGGATGTAACTTGGTTCACATACCTTGCTGTTCACAGGTGTTTTGGGTGTCCTGTCCTGTGTTAAGAACTGATGGCTAGAAATTCTGGAAATGACCATAATTACTTTGGTATTAGACCCTTATGGCTCAAAGAAGGGAGAAAAAAATGTATTCCAGTATCTTTCCTAGTTAATCTTCAATTCAAAGACCTTGAGAACCTTCCATGGCATGTTAGTAAAACTGAATGCTCAAGGTAATTTGGATGCTGCCTCTATTTCTGCTAAGTTTCTACCCAGACCAAAACAGAAAAATCTTCCCAGAGTCTTCCATATGCATGCTTAGTAAAGAGAAAATTCAGCACCCAGATCGTGTTCAGACATATCCTCATTCTGTAGCAGCCCATACGTGCACACAAACAATAGCGCACTCTGTGATCAAACATTTTACCACATGCTGTGAGCAAAACGGCATGGGCTTTAGAGTTGGACCAGTGTGGGTTCAAATATCAGAGCTGCCTGATTAGTGCTGGGTTCTCAGGGGGCTAATACGTTATACCCCTCTTATCCCCACCCTGAGCTATTTGACAAAATTAAGAAAACACAGGAACCAGACCAAAGGAAATAGACATCTCAGCCTCATTATTGCAAAAGCTGTTTGGAAGATGTGGTGAAGATCAGCAGCCAAGTGAGCTTGCTCCTTTATCACTCCTGAGGAAGGAGACTCTTTGTGAAAGAGGCCTGCTCTGGTTAAAATGATGTTCTAGATAGGCAAAGAATATTGGTACTTCCTGGGCAGCCTGATCCGAAAGAATGAGAGCAAAGGGGCAAGGAAAGCTCCTCTGCTTTCTTGTTTCACCAGGGAGGAGAGTAAGTTAAATTTGAGAAGAGAGGCCAGGAAAATAGGGACGTCTGAGATGCAGGAGTAAAGATGACCTCTTAGTAAGTATCATCACATTAACTCTGTCTTTGAGCAAGTTACTTAATATTTCTGAGTTTTAGTTTCCCTGTCTATAAAATGGGAATATTAATACTAACCTAACAGGGCTGTACATATTCAGATTTTAAAAATTGTGTGTGTGTGTGTGTGTGTGTGTGTGTGTGTGTGTGCGCGCGCGCATGTATGTGTATACTACAACTGCTACCTTAGGGCCTGCCACTAAATAATAAATAATGCCACCTCACTTTCCTGTCTATCCCTCACCCCTCCCTTTTTTCCTAGATATTAAATGAGTCAAAGATGTCTTTGGGCAGAAGGCAATTCAACCCTCTCTCTCCTATGATTAGGAGGGGTTAAAAAGGAGAAGCAGCACTGGGTACAGTGGCCTGTGCCTGTAATCCCAGCACTTTGGGAGGCTGAGGTGGGCAGATCACCTGAGATCAAGAGTTTAAGACCAGCCTGGACAGCATGTGAAACCCCATCTCTACTAAAAATACAAAAATTAGCCAGGCATGGTGGTGAGCACCTGTAATCCCAGCTATTCAAGAGGCTGAGGCAGAAGAATCGCTTGAACCCAGGGGGTGGAGGTTGCAGTGAGCTGAGACTGGGCCACTGCACTCCGGCCTGGGAGACAAGAGCGAGACTTCTCTTAAAAAAAAAAATGAGGAGAAGGAAGTACATAATTCTTAACTGAATAAGAATTATTGTTAAAAATCTGCTCTGCACAGTTTACTGCCCACATATTCAAATTCACTCACACTTTTTAAAAGAATTAGCTTTTGAAATGAGAGCTAATGCTTTAGGGACAAATGTGTCCATCTTCCTATTCCTTTAAACATACAAATGCCACCTAAGGAAGTGGCAATGTGGGTACATTGGATTTTGGACTTCCAAGATGGGGAGGGAGGCTGCCATCTATCTGAGTCACAAAGAGCTGCCTCCTAACTCCTGTCTCAGTAGTGTTTTGTGGAATGAGTGAAGACTCTAGGGTTCCCCAACATGCTGTGTGCTTGTTCCCATCTCATTTCTTTCATTCTGCTTGGCCTGAAGTTAAACATTTTACATCCTGAGGCTGGGAAATATCAGTGAATGGGCTAACCCTAAGTGGGAGAAAGAGAGGCATTTGTGATAGCTGGTCTGGTGTTGTTTGCACAGGGAGGATGGCTAGGAGCCGTCAGTTTGGCCATCATCATCCACATCAGGGGAGGGTGGTGTTGCTTAATGTCCTCACCAGGAGGTCATGCAGAATAAGAGTTCATTCTGTAATTTGACTTATGTTACCATGGTCACTAATTTTACATAGTTTAATAGATATCTCCTTTGGCCAGGGTGGTGGCATCTGCCTGTAATCCCACTTGAGCTCGGGAGTTTCAGACCAGCCTGGGCAATGTTGGTTAGCATGGAAACCCTGTCTCTACAAAGAATACAAAAATTAGCTGGGCAGCCTGCTGGCATGTGTCTGTGGTCCCAGCTACTCGAAGGACTGAGGCAGTGAGCCCAGGAGGTTGAGGCTGCTGTGAGCCATGATCACACCACTGCACTCCAGTCTGGACAACAGTGTGAGACCCTGTCTCGAAATAAAATTTGAAAAAATAAATTTCTTTTTAGATATATTCAGTGCTGATTGAATCACTATGCTTCCTCAACCCTTCCCTGCCTCCTGACTTTAGCTCCGTTTCCATGTCATCCCTGGCCATTGGTGTCTCATGCTGGCTGCTCCTTTGAGGCATCTTTGACTCGTACTTCATATCTAGCTAGCATCCTCAATTCTGCTGATTCTCTCTTAGAAACTATAGATTCAGTCTCCAATCCAGTTGCCACTGCCCAAACGCAGGGTCTCACTGTCCACTTTTCATGGAATGCACTCCAACGTCTCATCCTTCTGGTATACCTTTCATGCTGCCTCAGCCTATGATTCTAAAACACAAATCAGATCAAAGTTCTGCTTTCAAACCTCTAGCACAGGCGTCCCCGAACTACGGCTCGTGGGCCGCATGCGGCCCCCTGAGGCCATTTATCCGCCCCCCGCTGCACTTCAGGAAGGGGCACCTCTTTCATTGGTGGTCAGTGAGAGGAGCACAGTGTGTGGCGGCCCTCCAACGGTCTGAGGGACAGTGAACTGGCCCCCTGTGTAAAAAGTTTGGGGACGCCTGCATAGCAGCTTCCCTAATGTGTGAATTACATTCAGAATGACTTAGCACAGCATCCAGGGTCTTCACAATCCCATCTGACTTCCCAGCCTCATGTTCTCGTCCTCACATGCCTCCACAGCCCCATCCGCTGAACCCTTCATTGGCCCCTGGGCTTGCTGTGCTTTTCGGCAACTCAGCGGCTTACGGGTCCTCCTCCTCTGCCAGAAACACCTGTCGCACTTTTCATACCCATCGAAATCTCACTAAAGTTCTGAGATCCAATTCAAACTTCAACTCCTTGGTAAGCTTCCTTCTGCACACTCGTCACAAACTTATTTTACGTCAAATATGCACCAGTTTCTTTTCGGTAGATTGTTAGTTCCTAAAGCATTGTCTCAAACACCTCTCATAGGATAGATCTCCCAAATCCTCTGTTTTTAATTATTTTAGAACTTGATCTTTTCTCTTCTTCGAGCCATTTCAAGATATTTACACTATTTTCCCCCTTGTCTGTCTGAATTATAATTACACCTTTTTAGTTTCAAAGAAAATGTCACCAGAATCTTGGGAGTTTATTGTCAATTATGGACTTGACTTAAAGAATAATTGGCCAGAATTTTCTTTTATATTACTAAGTCTTTCCATATTTCTGAGAACTTAAAGTATTTCTAAGTCTTAGGGGGAGTTAACATGTTTGATGTGGGCTTTCCACTGTAACACACGAAATGTTTTCTGCCTTAGAGATGGTAATCAAAGAAATGTATCGAAAACTTTCTTCTGCCTACTTTTGAAACTACTGGCATCTGTGAATATGGAAACTGGAAATTTTAGAAAGCATCTAGATAGCTGAACAGTTGTAGAAAAAGATAACAAAGATATCTGGAGACCAGACAGATTATCAGCCTCCAACTAATTGTAGTGTGGTGCATTCTAACCTTCATCGCCAATAGTTTAAATAAGCAAAAGGATCAGATCTTTTGAACACATTTATAATTCAATTAATATTAATGAAGGCCTCAGAGGGTTCACTGTATTGTATTAGACAGTGAAATTGTTACCTGAAAAATCCTACTTGAATTGAAGTTCAGTACGTGCAAAAATTGGGATTGCTGCAAAGAAAAAATAGTGGGTCAATACATGAAATATACAAAAATCCTGCCCAGTACACCTCAGTAAACTGTGTCTTTGATGTATCTTGTCCACTGTTATACCAATGCCAGAGGCTTAGCACTTATTACAGTACCAGTAAGTAAAAAGGAGCAAAGATTTCTTTCGAATGAGAAAGCACAAACACCCATTCATAAAACCATTGGTAAGCATTTTTTTTTTTTAATCAACAGTCATTGTCACAGCCTGCTTGATCTTCCTACTTTGGGTTAATATGGGAGCCAATTACAGCTTCATCTGTGTAGAATTAACTTTATGGAGCACACACCGGGGATTTGTCTATCTTCACTATTTAGATATATGCCATAAAAATATGCATGGAATAGAGTGCAAGCACTGCAGATGGCAGAGACTTTCAGATTTATTGTAAAATCATTTAAAATCGGTTATGCTCGCGCCAGAAGTTAATTAATTTTTTTCTGTTCTTTTCTGGGGCTGGGGGGCTGGGTTGGGGGGGCTGTGTCTCACTAGGTGGCAGTGTATGATTACATCTGGAAAAGCCATGGCTTCAAGTCCAGTGTCTCCAGCTGTGACCTCCAACATCAAAATGAAATTTCTGTGTCTGCACTTGGTCCAGGAGATATTACTTCTCATGTATCTGTATATACCATTTATCCCAGTGGGTTGCAAGAGCTGTACCGCCATTTTCTCAGACTCCCCGGTGGGGCCATTGTTGAGGTATGTATATATGAAAATATTTGATGCAAATGCTGTGTATTTCATTGTGCTTGAATGTATTTTCTGTGTGTGTGTGTGTGTGTGTGTGTGTGTATCGATATGTGATTTCAAAGCCTTCATTATTACCTTACAGACATATCATAACATATGTTTTTAATATATGGCTTGAGGATGTGTTTTAGTTTTTGCCTAAACAAAGGTACCACATAGAAAAAAAGTTTCTATGCATAACTGTGTTTGAGAGAGGCAAGAAACAAATCAAGTGAAATAATTGAGAATTCTGACTGCAATAACTTTTACTCCATGTTTGTAAACAGTAGCAGGTTGGTGAATAATAGTTCTCGGAGTCCAAGAACACCTCCATGCCTCAGGAACTGCACAGTCTTTTCCTTAAATGATCTCGCACAAAATAAATCAGATAGTAGCGTTTCATTTTGTTTTCTCTATGAGAAAAACCTTTAAAAATAGAGAAATGTGCCCGATCCCCAAATTTTTAATAACCTTTTAAAGTAGCATTTGGCAATGATCTTAACATTACGTTTTCTCCTAAAAAGTCAGAATCTTTCAGTGGGCTGATTTTGGGTTTTTTAAAAATCTCTCGCATTACATCATATTCTCTGGATCCAAATTCATGGTCTGTCCCTTTGGCATCAATCATGAATCGTGAAATCTGAACGAGTGTTATTATTTGGTGGAAGTAGAGTAGTGGAGAAGGAAAATTAAGATGCATGCAGCATTTGGTTCCCTAATCCTATTGGCATGCAAGCATCACTTCACAGTGGCACAATATTGGTTGATTAGAATTAGAAGAATGTTTGAATATCCTATTGGATATTAGAATATTGGAACTCTAATGTTCCCACCACATTTTCCCTATGAAATTTAACCACCGTAGTTTTTGTTACTAAGTTGATGAAAGTGTGTCCTCATAAAACATCCTTTTCAATATAACCTTCAGGAAATTTCAAATTGTTTAGCACCAAGTTTTGCAGATTGGGAGTTTCTTCTTCCTGGTATCACTGCCCACAACATTGCTTGGGTACCTGAGTGAATCACATAGACACTCAGAAAAGCACAGAGGTGAGGGAAACAATTTCCCATCAGCTGGCTCCTCTTTCCCCCTCAAGGTGTAGTATGAGAGGGATTTGCCTATCTTGTAGCAAAGTAGCAGACAGGCAGATTATAATTGTATCCAATGTAAGACTTTGGGAGTTTGGGTCACAGACTGCAACTGGCACTTTTGCATATACTGCTTTTCAGATTTCTGAAATATTTGCTTGTGAAATCTCTGCAGAACAAAACTACCAAGAATGAATTTTTAAAACAATTTGCATAGGCTTGTGCTTACGTGTGTGTACACCATGTAAGAAATAACACAAAAAGAAGAGGCATCAGGGTTGTCTGCTCTCCTGCTACAAAATGTCTTGTAGATCCCAGAGCCTTGGAGCTCCAAGTGAGTGGAAAGCCCAGGTGTAAGGCCGTGCAGTACCCTGAACAGAGTGATCACTGCCACCCTTCAATTCGCTCACTTCTTCATTTGCTCCATAATCTTGGTTTAGTCATTTCCCACTGCTCTGCCTATTTCCTTATCTGTAAAACTGGGTTATGAATACTCACACTACCTGGCTCATAGGGATTTGGGACAGATTAATGAGATAACATCTGCAAAGCACTTTTAGCTCTTTTAAAAAAAGGTGCAATAAAGATTGCAAAGTATTATGAATCATGCACAATTAAATCCACTGAACTTGTAAATATTTGTTCAAGTACTAATAGTGACACTATGCTAAAAATAAAATAAACTCACTTCTGGAAGAACTGAGCAATGGGGCAACAAGTGTTATTGACCTGTCTGACTCTAATTGCCTGTGTTTTCCACACCATTGCCTTATATGATGGTCATGGTGGAAGTACAGCTTGGCATCAGCCTGTGCCCAGCTGAAATTTCAGCAATATTAAACTGGCTTTACTTTATCTGCCCCCTGCTCTATGAAACCTATGAAGTGCACTTTCAAATTGATATAACCTGTTTGTACCTTCTCTAGCACTTATCACAATATTAAATTTTATCTTTAGCCTTTCCAAACCTGTTTCCAGTGTTAAATTGCATGTCTTGGAAGACGGGAACCATAAAACGATACCAGTCCCAGAGCAAACTGAGAGTTAGATTTTCTTCCAGGTACCTGTCTGGCTATTCAACAATCTTCCTACTTTCCTTTATCTCTGAGAGGTTCTGCCAAGCCTATTACTGGGCTTTCAAGCTACAAAACTTAACATTGAAGGGGTTTGAGACTGGTCTTTTGCAACCTCAGTGAGAAACAAAACCCATTGTGTTATACTTCCCAAAATGTGTGCATTGTAAAGAGATATCAAATACCAGCACGCGAGTAGATTATATTTTCTGGATGAAAGAAATATCCCTTGATGTTTTTAAAATGAGGGTTTATAGGCAGTCACCTATTTGCCCAAAGCTTACCTTCAATCGTTGAATTTCCTTTCTCTGTACTTTGTATAGTTGGTACTCAAAGATATCTGTTGAATTGCATTGAATTTCTGGATTCCAACTGATGCTACATGATAGACACCAGGAGATATTTAACATCAAAATGCCACAGTGAATTAAGGGACCTAGAATTGGGAAATGACTTAGACCTACTTAAAAATACCTGTCAGACTGGGCTGGGCGTGGGGGCTCACGCCTCGAATCCCAGCACTTTGGGAGGCCGAGGTGGGCAGATCACCTGAGGTCAGGGGTTCTAGACAAGCCTGGCCAACATGGTGAAACCTCATCTCTACTAAAAATAAAAAACTAGCTGGGTGTGGTGGCATGTGCCTGTAATCCAAGCTACTCTGGAAGCTAAGGCAGGAGAATCAGTTGAACCTGAGAGGTGGAGGTTGCAGTGAGCAGAGACCACACTCCAGCGTGGGCAACAAAGTGAGACTCCATCTCAAAAAAAAAAAAAAAAAAAACAAAACAAAAACAAAAAACAAACAAACAAACAAACAAACGTGTAAGACTGATGCTATATTTTGGTAGGATATTCAGATACAGGAAGAAATAGGTAGCTGTGTCTGGGCCAAATTTCTTTACAAATTAGATATGGCAATAAATATGAAATAAAACTGGATGA